TTTGACTATCTGGCATTCCTGAAGTTCAACCAAACAACCAATAATCGATTATCACAATTGTGACAATCGACTATCTGGCATTCCTGAAGTTTAAAGGCTGTTCTAGTTTGCTACCAATTCCTCTGTAATCCCGCCCTCAAATAATCTACATGATAAGACCCCGGGTTCGGGTATAGCATCTGGTTTCAGAGCTTCTTGTTCCCAGATCCCAAAGGACCAAGAACACACTTCCACTCTTTCTCATTTCGTCCAAAACATTCCCCCCCCCCCATTTCCTTCTTCCTAGCTACTGGCCTACCTTCACTTTTTCACTTCCTAGTTCAAAACATGTCTCACACCTCCCAAAACATCACCAAGGAATACCTGGTTGCATCCAATGCCGAACTCAAAGCTCAAGTTGAGTATTTGGCCAAACAAGTGGCTAAACTCACTAAAATGAAGATGAAGATGATGGAGACACCCAAGGAAAGTGAAGACGAGCAAGAAGAAGAGACCCATGCAGAAACTCCTTCCTCTTCCATACGAAAGGACAACCAAGAGAAGTCCTCCGCTAGTTTGAAGGTTGAAATCCCAACCTTTGATGGCAAGGACGACCCCGATTATTTTATCGAATGGTTAGAGACGGTTGAACGCGTGTTTGACTATCTGGCATTCCTGAAGTTCAACCAAACAACCAATAATCGATTATCACAATTGTGACAATCGACTATCTGGCATTCCTGAAGTTTAAAGGTTGTTCTAGTTTCCTACCAATTCCTCTGTAACCCGCCCTCAAATTATCTACATGATAAGACCCCGGGTTCGGGTATAACATCTGGTATCAGAGCTTCTTGTTCCCAGATCCCAAAGGACCAAGAACACACTTCCACTCTTTCTCCTTTCCTTCATCCTTATTTCGTCCAAAACATTCTCCCCCCCCCCCCCCCCCCCAATTCCTTCATCCTAGCTACTGGCCTACCTTCACTCTTTCACTTCCTAGTTCAAAACATGTCTCACACCTCCCAAAACATCACCAAGGAAGACCTGGTTGCATCCAATGCCGAACTCAAAGCTCAAGTTGAGTATTTGGCCAAACAAGTGGCTCAACTCACTAAAATGAAGTTGAAGATGACGGAGAC